TCAATGTAATCCATCATATAAATAAACTGAAAGAAAAATACCATATGATCATTTCATTGGATGGTGAAAAAGCATTTGACAAAATTCAACACCCCTTTATGATAAAGGTGTTGGAGAGATTGGGTATACGAGGATCATACCTAAATATAATAAAAGCAATTTACAGCAAGCCGACAGCTAACATCAAATTGAATGGAGAGAAACTCAAAGCCTTTCCACTAAAATCAGGAACACGACAAGGCTGTACACTCTCTCCATACCTCTTCAATATAGTGCTTGAAGTTCTAGAAATAGCAATAAGACAACATAAGGGGATCAAGGGGATTCGAATTGGAAAGGATGAAGTTAAACTTTTGTTATTTGCTGACGATATGATAGTGTACATAAGCGATCCCAAAAACTCTACCAAAGAACTCCTACAGCTGATAAACACCTTTAGTAATGCGGCAGGATACAAGATCAACTCCAAAAATCGGTTGTCCTCCTATACACAAAGGATAAAGAAGCAGAGAGGAAAATCGGAGAAACTTCACCTTTCACGATAGCCACAAATAGCATAAAATATCTTGAGATAACTCTAACCAAGGAAGTGAAAGACCTATTTGACAAGAACTTTAAGTCTTTGAAGAAAGAAATTGAAGAGGATACCAGAATATGGAAAGACCTCCCCTGCTCTTGCTTTGGGAGGCTCAACATAGTAAAAATGGCAATTCTACCAAAAGCAATCTATAGATTCAATGCAATTCCCATCAAAATCCCATCAAACTTCTTCACAGACCTTGAGAGAACAAAAATCAAATTTATATGGCAAAACAAGAAATCCAGGATAGCCAAAAAATCTTATACAATAAAGGCACTTCTGGAGGTCTAACCATCCCTGGGTTCAAACTCTATTACAGAGCTACAGTATTGAAAACAGCTTGGTATTGGTATAAGAACAGAGAAGTCGACCTATGGAATCGAATAGAAGACCCAGATATTAACCCACAAACCTATGAACACTTGATTTTCGACAAGGGGGCTAAAGGTATGCAATGGAAGAAGGAAAGCATCTTTAACAAATGGTGCTGACATAACTGGATGTCAAACTGTAGAAGAATGAAAATAGATCCGTATCTATCACCCTGCACAAAAGTCAAGTCCAAATGGATTAAAGACCTCAACATTAATCTGACCACTTTTAACCTGATAGAAGAGAAAGTGGGAAGTAGTTTAGAAGACATGGGCACAGGAGACCACTTTCTAGGTAGAACCCCAGTAGCACAGACAATAAGAGAGTCAATATATAAGTGGGAACTCCTGAAACTGATAAGCTTCTGTAAAACAAAGGATACTGTCAATAAGACAAAAAGGCTACCTTTGGACTGGGAGAAGATCTTCACCAACCCCTCATCAGACAAAGGTCTGATCTCCAAAATATACAAAGAACTCAAGAAACTAGACACTAAAACTCTAATTAACCCAATTAAAAAATGGGGTACTGAACTGAACAGAGAATTCACAACAGATGAACTTCGAATGGCCAAAAGGCACTTGAAGTCATGCTCAATCTCCTTAGTGATTAGGGAAATGCAAATCAAAACCACTTTGAGATATCATCTTACACCTGTCAGTATTGCCAAACTCAAAAACACCAATGATATCCTATTTTGGAGAGGATGTGGAATGAGGGGAACACTCATCCATTGTTGGTGGGAATTCAAACTTGTGCAGCCACTGTGGAAATCAGTGTGGCCGTTTTTCAGGAAACTTGGAGTCACCCTCCCTCAGGACCCATCAATTCCACTCTTGGGAATATACCCAAGAGATGCCCTATCATACTACAAAACATTTGTTCAACTATGTTCACAGCAGCACTATTTGTAATAGCCAGAACCTGGAAACAACCTAGGTGCCCCTCAATAGAAGAATGGTTAAAAAATGTGTGGAACATATACACATTAGGGTTTTACTCAGTGGTAAAAAACAATGACATCTTGAATTATGCATGCAAATAGATGGAAATAGAAAATGCTTTACTGAGTTAGATAACCCAGACCCAAAAAGAGAAAAATGGTATGTACTCACTCATATGTGGATTCTAGCCATAGTTAAAGGTCTTTGAGCCTATAATTCGTGATCCTAGAGAAGCTAAATAAGAAGACGAACATGAAGAAAATCTTATAGTTATCCTCTTGGATATTGGAAGTAGACAAGATTGCCAGGCAAACTTGGGTGCAGGGTGGGTGGGGTGGGGGGATGGAAGTAAGGGGAGATGGTTAGAGAGAAGGGAGAGGGGGAGGATTGGGGATGGCTTGGGGGACTGGGAGGGGGGAGGAAGGATGGATATGGGACTAGGGAAGTATATATCTCAACTAAGGGAGCCATTTTAGAGTTTGCAAGAGTCTTGATTCTGAATGGGTTCTCAGGCCCAAGGAGAGGTCCCCAGATTGTTCCCTGGGTAGCAGAGAAGAGCGTACCTGAACTGTCCCTGGTCCATAACCATACTGATGAATATTTTGTATATCACCATAGATCCTTCATCGGGTGATGGATGGAGATAGAGATAGAGACACACATTGGAACACTGGACTTAACTCCCTAGGTCCAAATGAGAAGCAGAAGGAGGGAGAATGTGAGCAAGAAAGGCAGGACTAGGGGAACCTTCATCTGACGATAGATGGAGATAGAGACGGAGACCCACATTGGAGCACTGGACTGAGCCCCCAAGGTCCAAATGAGGAGCAGAAGGAGAGAGATCATGAAAAAGGAAACCACAACCGTGTGGGATGCGTTCACCCTCGGATACAAGGGGACTGATCGAATGAGAGCTCACCAAGGCCAGCTGGACTGGGACTGAACAAGCATGTGATCAAACCAGAATCTCTAAATGTGACTGACATGGGGGCTGCCTGAGAAGTCATTGTCAATGGCACTGGGTCTTGTTTTGTCTGCATGTACTAGCTTTCTGGGATCCTAGTGTGTTTGGATGCTCACCTTCCTAGACCTGGAGGGAGAGTGGAGGAACTTGAACTTCCCAAAGGGCAGGAAACCCTGACTGCCCTTAGGACTGGAGAGGAAGGAGGGGAAGGAGTGGGGGGGAGAGGAGAGGGAATGCGGATAATGGGAGGGTATGGGGAGGAGAGGAGGAAGTGGAAATTTTTATAAATATATAAATTAATTAATAAAAAAAGAAATGATAAGCCTTCCCATGGGGAGTAGTCAAAGAATATTGTTTTGAGGCAGGACCAAGGCCTTCCACTATATATAGGGTAAGGAAGGTATCCCTCCAAGTAAAATGGGTTCTCAAAAGTCAAGATAAGCAGTAGAGATAAATTCTGGTCCCACTGCCAGGGTCTCCTCAATCTGCCCCAGTCATATAATTGTCACCTACTCTCAGAGGGCCTAGTTTAGTCCTATTCTGGTCCCTAACTATCAGGCTGGAGGTGGTAGGCTCCCATTAACTCAGGTAAACTGGTTTAGTGAGTATCTCCATCATGGTCTTGACCTTATTGCTAATAATCTCATTCCTCCCCCTCTTCAACTATACTTTGGGAGCTCAGCTCTTGCTCCACTGTGAATCTCTGCCTCTGCTTCTATCAGTTGCTGTATGAAGGTTCTATGGTGACATTTTAGATAATCATGAATCTGTCTACAGGGCAAGGCAAGTTCAGGCACCCTCTCCATTATTGCTCAGGATTTTATCTGGGGTCATCTTTGTGAATTCCTGTAAATTTCTCTAATATCACATCTTGTGCTAGTCTCACAATGGATTCCTCAATCAAGATATCACTTTCCTTTCTCTCTGCACTATCCTTCTCCGTCTTGACCAATACTTTTCCCCATCTTGTCCTACCACCTCTACTACTCCCTTCACTTTCCCCTTCTGCCCTCCATTCTATCCTCACCACCATCAGCCATAGTTTCTCATGAGATTTTGCCTATTTCCCCTTCCCAGGGGAATTTACATATATTTCTCTTGGGATTCTCCTTATCTCTTAGTTTCTCTAGGGTCATGGACTATAGGCTCATTATCCTTTGTTTTACAGCTAGTATCCACTTATAACTGTGTACAAACCATACTCATCTTTTTGCATCTGGGTTACCTCCTTCAAGATGGTTTTATCTAGTTCCAACCATTTTCATGACAATTTATAGATTTAATTTGTTTCCACATCTGATTAGTATTACATTGTGTAAATATGCCACATTTTTAATCCATTATTTGTTTGGGGGCATCTAGGTTGTTTTTAGGTTCTGGATATTATAAATAATGCGTCTATGAACCTAGTTGAACTAATGTCCTTATAGTATAATTGAGCATCCTTTGAGTATATGCCCAAGGGTGATGTTGCTGGGTCTTCAGGTAGGTTGAATCCCACACACAAATACTACTACCAAAATGTAACATTGGTCATTAATATCTCTTAATATCAATAGGCTCAATTCACCTATAAAAATGAGCAAACAGCACGGATATGAAAGCAGGACCCACCCCTTGGCTGTATATTAGAAACACACCTAAACCTCAAATACAGATTTTACCTTAGTGTAAAAGGGATGGAAAAAGATTTTCCAATTAAATGTACCCAGGAATAAAAGCAGAAGTCACTTTCTTAATATCTAACAAAATATACTTCAAACTAAAGTCAATCAGATAAGATGGTGAAGGACACTTCATACTCATCATAGGAAAAATCAATTAAGGTGAAATCTCAATCCTGAACATCTATGCCCCAAATACAAGAGCACTCACATATACAAAATAATAAAAAAAGCATTACTAAAGCTTAAATCGCATATCAAATCCCACATGCTAATAGTAGGAGATTCTAAAATATCATTCTTCTACAATGGGCAAGTCAACCAGATAAAAACTTAACAGAGAAATAAGAGAACTAGCAGATGCCATGACTCAAATTGATGTAACGGACATCTATAGAACATTTCACTCAAACACAAAAGAATATACCTTCTTCTCTGCACCTCATGGAACCTTCTCTAAACTTGACCACATACTTGATAACAATGCAAAACCTCAACAGATACAAAAAAGTGGAATAACCCCTAGTTTCTTATTGAAAACATTTTAAATTACGGTTTGTTTCTATGTCCAAGTACTTGTTATTGAGTTACTGGTTTGGAGTCATAACTTCAAGCTCACAATTCTCCAGAATGATATCTGAATGAGTTCACAGTTGCCTAATACAGCAACCTTTGGCTGGTTTTTGCAATATCTCTTTCTTCCTACCCCTATTCCATTTCAGAACAAACTATGAGATGTTAATGATTATTATTTGTCTACACTGTACCTTTTACCTCTCAACATTTGTTATAATCTAAACAGGTGGGCAATGCTAGAATCCTAAGAGCACCAAAAAAGAACTATTTGCCATGTCAGACTTCCTCTGGTTTGAAGGAATACCTTTCTCTGCTCTAGGGCATGAAAAAGAAATTATTGGAGAGTGCTGCAATAAGTTTGGATTCAGAGATGAAGACACAGTTATACTGAGTTACCCAAAATCTGGTAAGGACCATCACGGAGAATGATCCTAAGTGTCTGGGAAAGGTTAGAGCTTTTAAATTTATTAATTTTGGAGACGACTGGAGTGTTTTATATATCTCATGTGTTCAATGCTCTGTGGGCATGGTGTGTGAGAGTATTTCCATTCATTGAAAGAACTCTACCCTAACCTGTGGGGTCGGAGTATCAACTGAAAGACAGTATAACATAAAGAAGCCTCTGGCATTAGTCTGTTTCTGTGTAGAAAAGAAAGTGGAAGAGAGAGATTGATGAGAATTTACAGAAGTAATAACACCTAGAGGAAAAGGCATGGTTGTAAGAATGTGTGGAGAAGAGGACAATGACAGGTAGAAGAATTCTCCAGAATGACATCTGTATAAGTTCACAATTGCTTAAACAGCAACCCTTGGCTGGCTGTTGCAATATCTATTTATTCCTAATCATAGCTCATTTCAGAACAAACTATGGGATGTTAGTGATTTTTTTCCTATGCTATATATTTTACCTCTCAACATTTGCTACAATCTAAACAGGTGACCAAGGCTGAAATCCTAACAGCATGCATATTAGGTTCATGGACAAGGACATGAACCTTGTCTAGGTAATGGAAAGAGTCTCAAAACTGAAGGAACCAAACAGACTTTATGGGAAATTGAGGGAGGGTTGTTTGGTGGGTGACAAAAGCATTGAACATGGGTAAGTACTAGGTTGCTGACATTGAAAGTATAATGACATGGAAAGGCAATGGTAGTGGAATGCAGGTAAAGGATCCAGAAGATAGCCCAGAGCAGAGCTAGAGAAACATCCTCTTACAAATGAGCAAATAAACACAGATACAAGTGTGTGGGGTAAATACACACAAGGGAATTTATTACCTTTACTGAAGCAATACTCAACCACACACAGCAATGTGGATATATCTTAATGGCACTGTATTAAATGAAAAGAGCAAGTTTCACGGACAGATTCCACAATTGCATCCCTGGGAAATAACTGAGAAAGATTTATTCACTCTACCAGACTGTAGAATGATAAAGGGATTTCCAACTGGTAGGTGGGTTTATTGAGTACAAAGTCTCAACTTTTCCAGGTAAGCATTGTGAATGTTCTGGAGAAATATACTTTGTACTTAAACCATGTGAACATTGCGAATACCACATGTCTGTGTGGTTGGAAACATCTGAACTCTAAATTGGATGGAAATATATTCCACTTGAAGCTTTTTTCACAACCAATGTTTAAACGAATGATTATAACGTTTCTTTCTTCTTCAGGAACTAACTGGCTTGTTGAGACTGTCTGCTTGATTCAAACCAAGGGGAATCCCAAGTGGATTCAATCTGTGCCTATCTGGGAACGCTCACCCTGGGTAGAGACTAAAACAGGGTATCCACAATTAATCAATCAAAAAGGACCACGCCTCATGATTTCCCACCTTCCCATCCATCTTTTTCCCAAGTCTTTCTTTAGTTCCAAGGCTAAGGTCAGTGTCCATTTGTTGAGAAATCTTTAATCAATTACTCATTAAACTTATCCTACCAAGAAGCACCCTGGAATTCTATCTGAAATGTGCTCTGACTCTGGAGGTTGTGGGAGGAATGCTGGGATTCTCATGCACTATATGATGCTAAGGTGTCTGCTCCTCAGACTACATTAGAGTACCAGGATGTCATCCATTACACAGTGGTTCTGGACAGATGTATGAGAAAAAGTGAAATATAAATTAGCTCATGCAGATACTGAATATACAGGTCAAACAGAGTTCAAAACTCTAGTGGGAATTGGATATTACTGCTTTGTTGTCAGTAATGTCAACTAATCATTATTCTAAATAAAGCCAATTCACAGTGGTTGAATCACCCAAGGCAGAGCTGCAACCTGACCAGGCACCAAAGCTCTCTTATTATAGATTATTCAACAATCAGAGCTCATCTGTACCTACTCTGTTTTACTATGTCTAACTGTCCATAGCAATCATTAGTATTAGGAATTGCCAATGTCTCTGATAGAGAATCTTCAGAAGGGATCAGAGATATCTAGTTTCTGATCTACCATAGCTCCTTGTTAGTAAGAAAGTTTTAGAGAAGTCCATCAATCATGGATCCTAAAATTATTTTATGCTTAAACTACAAAGACAAACTTAGAAAAATAATCTCTCTTGAAAATTATCACAATGAGGCTGGAAACATTGCTCAGAGGTAAAGAGGACTGACTGTTTCTTCAAACATCCCGAGTTCAATTTCTAGCAATCACATAGTAGATGATAATCATTTGTAATGAGATCTGTTGCCCTCTCTGACCTGCAGGCATACTAAGTGTATACACTGCTTATATAATTAATAAATAATTTAAAAAATTCAAAATGAAGAAGTGACCATTCAACTACATCTCTGCGTCTTAACAGAATTTAGCAAACTCTTGGCTGGAGAAATTAAGGTCTGAATAGATGAATTCTAGAAAAATGTCACAACAGGCATTTGTACGAAATTTAGATTTTCTTCTACAAAAGTTACTATTAATGTAAATTTATTTCTTTTGTTTTTGAGAATATTATCTACTTGTATACATCATCCCCTCTTCTGCTTGCACCCTCCGAGCTCATTCATATACCCCTCATTTCCCCCTTTCAAATTGATGACCTCATTTTTCATTAAGCATTGTTACAGCTGTTTGTATATGTAACTACATATTTCTAAATATTTAAATACAACCTGGCTAGTCTCCAAAATGTTACTTACATATATTTTTGGGTCCTGAAAATTTGGTCTTGCATAAACAATTAGTATACCATTCCCAGGAGAAGTCTGTTTCTCCCATTGATAGCATTTCTTGGCTGCCTGTAGGTCTTTGTGTGTATCGTTGTATAATGACACTGGCTTTTAGCTCTGTCTCATGTCATATTTAAGAGTTATATTTGGTAGTTGCAGTTACAGAAACCAATTAGTTTTCCATTTTTCACAGTACTCATCACTATTTATATAAGATATTCTTTTACAGTGGGTGAATAGTCTCTCACACTGTAATATTTTGATCTCTTCAACTACTGTATTAGTCATAGATTTTGTTGTTGTTGTTTTTCATCATCTCAGTGACCTCAGTAAATTTGTTTTACATTTCTAAAGTCAAATAAGATTATCAAAATATTCTGATTATAGATAATTTTCACTTCTGTATATATTTTGTCCAAATAAATAGAATAAAAGTTTTTGAAAACATCATGAATATTTGATTGATATCTCACATAAATTGTGCCACTTAAAAGTTTGGGACTATGTATATTGACCTTCATTTACATTTCTTTCCATTTAAGGTCATCTACGTCATCAGAAATCCCAGAGATGTTCTTGTATCTGGTTATTTTTTCTTTGCTAATAAAAACATTATTAAGAATCCAGCATCACTAGCAACTTATTTTGACTGGTTTCTCAAAGGACATGGTGAGTATCCTGTTGAATATAGAAGTTGAAGGAGGCTTACATATATTTTTAAAGACACTGTGTGATATAGCTTAAGCTGATTTTGAACTTTACATATTGCTAATGACAACCTTGAAGGTCTCCTCATACTGTATCTACCTCTTCTGTCTTAGGACTTCAATTACATACTGTCATATTCTGTTTATTTAATGCTGGAGCTCAAACACCCAAGACCATATAAGTTAACTAACTTTGCTATATCCATACCCTAATGTATATTATATAGTCTCCATCAGGTTCCATCTTATCCCTCTACATTCAACCTATTTGTGGATTCAAGGCTTATCAGGATTTCAAGTCTAACTGTAAAGTCTGACTATTCTCATGCACAACTGAAAACAGGGCACAGTAACAGGTTTTTTTTCACAGTAACAGTTTTGACACACACCTTGACAACATTTCCAATACTAATATAGATATTATCATTTATGCTGGTTTGAATGACAAATGCCTTCACAAAGACTCTGGCATTTGAATACTTGTTTCAAACAGCTGATGATACTATTTTAGAAGATTTATGAGGCACAGCCTTGATAGTGAAAGTATATCAATGAGTGTGAGTTTGAGAGATTAAATTATTAAGCCACTTCCAGTTTCCTTCCTCTGTTTCCTGCTTGGAGTGTAGGAAATGAACTCTCAGCTTTCAGATTCTATACTTTATCTCAACATTTATTCTAAGATCTCTGAATACACAGGCCAAAAAGAAGCTCCATCTTCCTTAAGTTACCTTGTTCATAATGTTTTATCACAGCAAAATAAAGATAACAAATGTGGTTTTTGTCCTGACACCTATTCTTAGTCTTTTTTCTGTTGTCTTCTTATATACTGGCTTGACCATGTACCATTTTTAAATATATCTTTTCAACAATTTTACATCCTTTATCCTTATTTGTCTAAAAATATTTCATAGGCAAGAATTCTTTATACTTTGTTTTTATTTTAACATTTATTCAAACATATTAATTATATATAATAAAGTGTTTCATAAGTGACATTTCTTCACATGTGTGCAGGACTTTTGGTCACAACAATGACCCACTAAACCATCCTTTCCTGTTGCCTCAATTGCTTACCATTTTGGCCTTCTCACCTATCTCTCCTTTCTGTTTTCAAGTTCCTTTTCTTCATGTGTGTGTTTGTGATGCAGTGGATTCCATTGTAGGTGGCTACAGGCATACAGGTGAGGAGTCATTTAATGGAACATGGGCTCCTGTTTTCTTTCTTGCCACCATGTGGAGTTAGTTCATCAGGTTTGGTAGCAAGAACCTTTACTTATTCGCTCATTTTAATATTCTTTGATGAGTTACTGAATTTGGTTAGGAAGGCTTTGGTGAGAATTATTTTATCTGTGTAAATTATAGGTTTTATTATGTACTTTTTTGACTTTTTGTCTGTTTTTTTTTTATCTAGAAGATACATCACAGAAATATTTTTTTGGTGTGACTTCTTTTATGGAACAGTTCAAAAAGTATTCTTGTTCTCTGAAGGTTTAGAAAAATTCATCAGGCCTAAACATTTTTTTTTAGTTTAAACATTATGTTAAGTACTTTTGCAGACTCAGCACTTGTTGTAGTACTGTGCATTTTTATTAGATAATTTTTATTCATTATTTAGGAATTTTCTTTTATGCATTTCACTCATTTCCTAGTCCTTTCATATCTACCCTCAACCTTTGTATGTTCCTCAGAAAAAAAAACATAAAATAAAAACATAAATAAATAAAGCAGAAAAAGAAAACAGCTTACACATCCCTTCTAAACAATGACCTGCTCCTCAATCAATCAGCAATCTTCAATCTTCTTTCACTGCTGTATCCAGTCACAAAAGTCATGTCTCCAGTTTGACCATATATGTTCAACTTTGATTCTCTGCCTTTCCCAAATTTCCATGAAAAATTTTCATTGTGGTAGCACTGGGAGCTGTGGCTAGTCATGCAGAACATCTTTTTGACCAAACAGCATTACTTGCAAGTGTTCACTGTAATGAGTATTTAATCTGAGAACAATGTGTATTCTAAAGGCTTTGTATACTGTATTCTATTCATGTGATGTCATTTAATTATGGTTCTTTTTTCTATGTGGATAATGGATTAAATTTTTGAGAGTGAAATCGATAACACTCAGGGATAGCTTGTGGCTTTACATAGAATTGTATTTTCTGTGTAGAACTGGATGCACATATGTGTGGAATTGTACAGTTCTCTCCATGGATTGTTCCTTTAACTCATAGGAAGTAGTATTTATCCTTTCTCATTATAATTGGTTTAAATTTTAGTTTGTCCAACTAAATCAGCAACACTTGCTTGTTTTCCACTTCCACTAGCCCAGAACACCTTTTGTCATCATTTCATTGTGAGGTTCCATCTGTCTTTTATGCTGAAGTACAACACATGTATACTGACTACTTTCTTATTCCAATATCCTAGCCTATGTCTTTTGATCAAAGGATTAAAATCACATACTAGTGAAATGAGTCCACTGACTCCTATTATCTTGAATATTTTTGCCAAGGTGATTGTGGTATTTTCCTTTTGTTTCTGGTTTAGGCGTTGTTCTTATATGCTTTATGGTTTCTGAGATAAACCATACTTGACAGAAGCAATGTTTGAGAAGAAATTGTTTATCTGTTCTATATTTTCAAGTCACAGTCTATCTATGGGAGCAGTCAGGTCTTTATCTTCAGGAAGAACTGATGTAGAAATCATTTTACTAATCACCTTGGAAACTCATTCAGTGTTTCTAATTAAATTAGATTCTTCATATATCCCACACCAGCTACCTATACTGTGGGCCATATCAATCATCCTCAAAACACATGGCCACAGGTCAATCTGATGGGTACAATATCTTAACCTAGATTCTCTCAGATAATTCTAGGTTGTATCAACCTGACTGCTGAAGTTAACTTATTGTTGTCTTATAAATATATTTACTTTTTGATTCATTCCAAAAGACTCCTAAAGTTATATTTTATAGAGCTGCCTTGGTGGTCATAAATTCACTTTGTATATTTTTAATGTATAATTTTTATTTCTGCTTCAATTGTGAAAAGTAGCCTTGAATGGTATGATATTCTAAGTTGCCCTTTTTGATATATAAGAATTGAAATACAGATTGCAGCTCACCCTTCTTTAAAAATTTTCTCAATTTTATATGTTATTCTGACAGACTTTTTTTTACCCTTGACTTGGTGATTCTCTCTTGCCAATTTCAATATACTTTCTTTGTTTAATTATAATATTATTATGGGAGTTTCTTTCCTGATCATGTATATGTGATGTCCTAAATTTTGCGAATATCTGAATTGGTATCTGTTATAACAAAAACCCACCTAGAGAAAAAAGTGTTTATTTTATTTTCAACTCCATGTTAAAGTTTATTATCAATGAGAAGACTTGTCAGGAAGTTAAAGTAATATGTTAAGAGTCAAGAGCAGGTAGACAACTATATTTACACTTGCTTTCCTCAGTTAGCTTTCTCTTCACTTATACTTTCCTGGACCCCCATTAGCAGAGAATGAGGCCAAACACAATGTGATTCACCTTCTACATCTTCCATTAACAATCCAGATAATTATTTAATAACATGTCCAAAGGTTAATGTGACATAAACAATTTCTCCTTAAAAATCTCTAACAAGGTGTTTATAGGTTGAGTCAAGTTAACAGTGGAAACTATGCAATACAATGTCTCTTTTCTTAAATTTGGGGAATTATTTTTAAAATGTTTTAGACTGATGAACCTTAGATTTGTACGTTTCATAGAGTCACAAATATCTTAGAAATGCCACTCATATCTTCTTATTATGTTATCTTTGCTCTTATTGTACTGTTCCACGTCCTTCAGCTTGCCTTCACACTGTGACTTTTTTCCATTTTTAAAACTTCTCATTTATTATGAACTGATGAGTATGTTGTCTTGAACGTCTGTGTGAGTACACACATCTCACAGAATATATGTTCTAACCTGGGAACAGCTTTGTGGAGTCACATGTGTGCTTCTAATTTATGTGGGTTACTGAGACTGAGAACTGTTTTCAGAGAAACAGGATAAGTACTGTAACTCATTGCCATCTCATAGCCCCACCACCCCTTTTTGTGTCTGTATTTACTTCATTGATTATTTATTTTGTAAATTATTTTGTTCACATTTCCACTTTTCATTGTCCAATATGACTTACTTTTCAAATTTATGTCATTATTAGCTTAAAAAATGGCTCAGTGGTAAAACAAAACAAAAAACAAAAACAAACAAACAACCCCCCCCCAAAAAAACCCAAAAAAACTATGATGCTTTTCAGAGGAAGGGAGTTGTTGACTCATCTTTTGCAGTCCCTGACCCCAAAACACAAATACCTTTTAAAATAATTTCCAAGGCAGAATCCCTGTTAATTATTATTTAGTTATATGTCATTGGCTTATTTTTTGGTTCCCTTACTAATGAGCTTGTGGCTTTTTGATTTGAGTCAGGATATGTTGTATCCAAGGTAGACCAATAATACACCATGTTCTTGAAAATAATATTGAACACCTAGACTTTTCATCTTGCTACCTCCTGAGTTTTGGCATTACAGATGAATAAAAGCTTGACTTTTAGCTTTTCTTTTGATATGTATAGATATGTGTATTTTTGATAGTTTGAATGCAAATGTGTAAAAGTGAGTGTTCTTGTGCTAAAGACAGACAATACATCAGGTGTTGAGCTTTAATATCTACCTTGTTTGAGACAGTCTCTTCTAGTTCTTTGTTGTGTGTGTGAGATTAGCAGGTTCCAAGCTTTTGGGATTTCTCCTATCTCAATATCCAATGCTGTAGATTTCTGAAGATTCATACTCAGGTAGGTTCTCACACAATCAAGGCAATTTTTTTTTCACTAAATCATAATCTAATCCCAGTTTCAATCACTTTAAATGACCTAATGCTGTCATGCATTGTCATTTCTCATTCTCTCTATAGTCTCTCTGTAGATCATTTACCTCCAGCTTTCAGTCAAATCTTAGATACTTTGTTTTCCTGTATCTTATCGCTCCAATCTTGGCTTAACTCTTGTCTTTTCTCTTGTCTTGATTCAGTTAGCTTTTCAAATAATGAGGAACAACAAAGCAAGTGTGGAAAGGAGGCTAAAATATTAACAGAGAGGAAAACTATTCCAGGAACAGTGATGACACTGTGACTGTTGAAAACACATCATAGTAGCACTGGGAATGCAAATAAAGCCTCAGGGCAAGTGTGAAAGCCTATGCCTGGGAGGTCTCTAATTATCTGTGTTTTGGAGGCTCAGGTCTTGTGGAGACACTATTGAGAAGTGGCTGAACAACAGAGGTGAATGCCACTGGGAGGTAATTTCCCCCAGAAAGGGTTAAGAAAGTTCCCCAGACATGGTGACATTAAAAAGTCGAAATCTGGCCATGCCCACACCTCTCTGGATGTCTGTATTATTGTGATCAGTTTTCAACAATTCATGTCTCTATCACTGCATGCTTCCAAATGGATGTCTCCTCGTGGCATTAAAAGTAAAGTTGTCAGGTGATAAGTTTACTAAGGAATTTAATCTTATCAGCTAACTGTGTGATTTTCAAACTTAGCCACTTCCATGAGGATGATGCTTCACAGTGAAGGCACAATGTAGAAACCATGAACTTGGTAAATTAATCACAGAACTTGATTTTTTTCTCTGGGAGAGTAAAAAATTTTCAGCAGTCAATGAGGGGGACTAAACTGAACTCTCTGCAGCCTGCAAAAAAGGGAAGAAACTTGCACACACTTTTAGAGTCTTTTCATTATCATCATCTCTCTCTATTGTTCTTTTTTTTCTGACTATATACCTCAACTATATATTTCTCAGACAATATGAGCATTGCATTGTGGTTACATTTTATTTTTCAAGTGAATTATTACAGTGAACATAGGTAAAATACATTTTTCCATTTCTTTTATATGATTAAAAAACTACATATTACAAATGAAAAACAAATTATCTTAACAAGTCACATACATTGGTATCTAACCAGCACCATTATAGATGAACAAAGTTTAGACAAGCAACATATTTTTCTCAGTCTGTTCTTTTACTAGCAGGCTGCATTTTATGATTTCAATGAAAGAATCAATCACTTTTTTCTTATCTCAAAAAGTAATATTACAAGGAATTTTAAAAGAATCAGAAACCCAAACTTTATATATGAGTCATCTCTATTTTAAATCCTCAAGGTGCATACCCTTTAAGCAACTGCTTTTTTATATTAAGAAGCTGATGGCAGAAATTGGAAGAAATTAATGGTCATCTTTGATCACCAGCCCATTCTAAGAATAAAGCACATTAGTTAATAATAACAATGATACATTGGTTAATGTTCTTTGACATCAATGAGTCTCTCTTAATTCTGTGCATTTTTGACTTAGATTGATTCCCCAGGATTTTTACCTCAAAATTATTAACAGAAACATATTATCTATACTTAAGTGATATTTAAAGCTTTTTTTAGCTATGATTAAAACCAAATCCGAAGAACACAGCTCTTAACAATAAGACTAAAATTACTTCAGATAACTTAGCTTTTGAGACACAAATGTTTTTCTTAATCATTAGCCTAATCCACAGTCTATATGACTCCTCAAGAAAAGCTAGCTGTGTGACATTTCCTTCTTCTTATTGTCTATTCTCTCCAGGCCCTGCTTTATCAGGTGCAGGGGCAACACCATATCTTGTTTTTACCTATATAACTTTCACACTACGCTATCTTCTGTCATAATTAATTTCTATATTTACTAAAGACCCCCAAACATCAAAATCCTATTTAAACTAACACTGTTATTATATAAAATCATTACTTCTGTTAAATAGCTTATCTTGTGAGGAAATATTCTTTATAATGATCCACAGGTAAAAATTCCCAGTGGAATTGTGTATTTCCATGAGATAATCATACTACATTAAAGGTAGTGGTGATCACTTCATGCCCATTCACAGAATGACACATACCAGAGAAAAATGGCAGCAGCAAATATGTAACAGCATACCAGCATAGCAAGAACATTCTAGGGCCAAAGTACCTGGGGTCTTTTCTATCTAAGTTTCACCCATTAGAACTTTTCTTCAGGATGGAATAACCTCATGAATATTTTTACCACCTACTGCTCTTCTGATATGGCTACTAGAAAAATGTTACATTGACTACTGTAAATAATCTTTGGACTTTCCTTAGTAAAGCTGTCTGACATTTTCAAAAAAGTGAAGAATACCAGACAGACTTCACTTTTATTCTTTGTAATCAAAATTTTCTCCTCTCCTCACACAGTGATATATGGATCATGGTTTGAACATACCAGTGCCTGGCTTTCCATGAGAGCAAGGAACAACTTTTTACTAATTAGCTATGAAGACATGATAAAGGTAAGGATTATTTTCACAGCAGACAAACAACCTCCAACAAACCACTCCATGCAGAACCCTACATACCTCTTTCCCCATCTGCCTACTCTGTCAGGGTCAAGTTCATCAACAGTTACTAAAAGTGAGATTATGCCCTATGTCTGTGTGGACCTGCATCAAGAATTTGATCTCCAGCCTCCTGGTCCACCACACATGTTTTCTTTACTCTACTGCACTCTGATATAAGGTGGAGCAGTTCACACTTGAATTACGGGTTTTCAAATTCTGACTTTGCAACACATTCAACAAAGCTGATAACAAAGTGGTCAGTGGGTAATGGGAAATGCAGTGTCCTCCCACTGTTGTGCCCAAAATTATGCCATCTCCCCTGACCACAAGAAGAGCAATCAAGCCTAGAAATCCATCTTTGAATCCTGGAACAGCAGAAGTGCTGAAGTCACATGAAGAGCACTGAGTGATATTCAAATCTGCAAGGTGTGTATAGTGTAGAGCCAGTCAGGAAGATGGTGTTCTGTGCTCTTCAGTACAGAGGGTTCCACATGGTAGGCTAGGATACAATGGAGATATCAAAAGTCTTATTAGAAACTACATAAAATGTTTCAACATTAAGTAATGGCATATCTCTAAAGAGATTGATAGCCCATGCCCTTATATGATCATTGCAGGTTTTATTTAATTAAAATGTCCAATTTAAGGTTATAAATATGCTTAATATTACATGTGTCTCAAATAACTAATATTTTAAATCTGAAAGAAAACCTTGGCAGGGTGTTTCATGAGTATAAACCTAGAACTTGGATATAGAGACATATTCATGGGTCATCCTGGTGGGTTTGAGATCAACCTTGGCTATAGGAGACATTATTTCAAAAGGGCATTAAAAATAACTTTTAAATTATTTGCATATTATTACCATTCAGTTAAAAATTATTCCCTTATATTATATATATTATATATATATATCAGTGATAACTTGCATATAAGCACAAAAATATGTTTATTTCATCAGTAGCTCATTAATTTAAGTGACTTGGAAGTTACAGATGGAACGTAACCACCATTTACGTAGCAAAAAAAAATATATTCATTGGACGTTTTACTGAGTAAGAAAAAAAATGTTCTGATAATTAGGTCTTTCAGAAAAAAACATATGTCCATGCTTAGAACTGTTGAAAAATTAAGAAGGAAAAGAAGCAATCTTACAGACTCTGTTTACTTATAGAAGTAGACTCTGGTGAGTATGAAGGTTACAGATAGTTGTAGCTTCTTGTTTTTTCTTACTTTATTTTTATTATTCAAAACAATTTTTAAATTTAATCATATTTTGATCATAGTCTTTCTCTCTCACAATTCCTTCCAAATTTTCTCCTCTTCCTTACCCACCCAATCTTAAATTCTTTTTCAAAAACAAAGCCAATAAAACAATATTTTCCCCAACTAAAACTATACCTTCAAAAATAAAAAAGAGCACTGAACTATAACCAAATAAAAGCACCCCCCACAAAACTGTAGAGGCTATTATCTGTTGGTCAACTACTCTTCAATATGAAGACTGCTGTGCAGTAGTTTATGTATCCACTGTTACTACATTGGCGACAACTGATTCTCACAGCAGGTATAAATAAAAATTCAATTGTTAACATCTACTCTAGCGGTTAGTTTCATTCATTCATTCACTCATTCAATCACTCACTCACTCACTCATATTTTAAAATATAGAAAAATAAAAAACAATGTGATGAAACAATATTATCACCTCAAAGTTGGACAAAATAAATGAACAGAAAGGAAACAGCACAAGAGAAATAACAAGCAGAAACCAACTTGTTTGTCCATTCAGGAAGTCCATATAAACACTAAACTGAAAGCTCTAATATATTAGCAGAGGACAGGTACAGGCTATGTGGCACTATGCATGCTTCCAGAGTTTGTTGTTTCTTATGAACTTTTCTCATATTGATGTAGAGGGCCTTGTTTTCTTGTTGTCCTCCCTTCATTATTTCTTCTTCTTCTTCTTCTTCTTCTTCTTCTTCTTCTTCTTCTTCTTCTTCTTCTTCTTCTTCTTCTTCTTCTTCT